AGTATGTTTTCTCGTAAATCCGCTTCGCGTTTTTTTAAAAGTGGGATCTATTACGGAATTTGTGAAGTCGCTTTGTAGCATTTGCTTGGATTTGAGCAAGAGCTAGTGAATATCCAGGAAAGTTCAGAAAGACGCGTTCAAAGAGAAGATGGATATTCAGTTTTTATTCATTTTTTATAGATGCATATGAGGGTTTTGCTTCCCTGTCCAATGGTCTGTAACCCGTCAGTTGGCATTTTCTAATAAATAACTCCACAGCGAAGGCCTTCCTCCTTCCACTAGTAGTTAGGTTCGGTTCGTCTGTGATAGCAGCACCACTACTGAATGTACAAACACCAAACCACCGTTTTGCTCCCCTGTTCAGTTGACATTTTAAATAACTCCACAGCGAAGGCCTTCCTCCTTCCACTAGTAGTTATCGAAGGTTCGTCTGTGATAGCAGCACCACTACTGAAGTACAAACACCCAAACCACCGTTTTGCTCCCCTGTTCAGTTGACATTTTCTAATAAATAACTCCGTAGCGAAGGTCTTCTTCCTTTCACATGTATCTAGCCATACCTAGTTGTGTCTCAAACCAGGCAAATTGGGAGTTCCGCGGATCGCATCAGCAACATCCAAACTTTTTAAAACCGAACTGAGCTCCTCCGTCATCATCATCATCATCATCATCATCATCATCATCATCATCATCGTCATCATCATCATCATCATTATCATCATCATCGTCATCAATGACAACCCCAACTTTGTTATTTTCATCATAATCGCCATCGTTCATCATACTGACTTTTACTGTTTTTATTACTGACACGAGCAATATCATTCAAGCATGAGAACATGCTTTTGAGCAGTAAACCAGTGGCGGGGCCAATGTAAATAGGAATAAAAGAAACAAATTTGGAAACTCAGAAGCATGAAGCTAATTCCAAGAAGTAGAAAGTTTCACAGGGTCTCCAAAGGGTCTGTCCGTTGGAATGTAACATAAATAGGGGAAAATAAAGCGTTATTCATTCTGCTATGCAGCGTTCGTTCTATACGAAACAGCGTTGTGAATAAACAGAGGGTTCCCTGTATTGGAATCCTTTTGATTGTCGGTTTTCTGAATGAGGAAACCATGAGTCCATATGGTGATAGTTTATCAGTGGATATTCCCATTTTTCGCTGGCAACAGATGGGAAGAGCGAATTATCTTATCAGTGCTGAGTTGTGCACCGGCAGGAAACATGCCAGCGGAAAAAGAAACTCATTGATTTTATCAAACTTGCGCTGGCGAAGAATAGCAGACTGTGTGAGTAATGAAAAATGATTAATGACCGAGGGATCAATATGCGATTCCTGGCCAAGTTCAAACCCATGCGTACGTGCTTCTGTTGAACGAAAATCAGTTGAACAATCATGAATAAAGGCAGTCATGGAACACGTGAACATTGTTGATACGGAAAAGCAAAATGAAGGGAGAAGCACTTACGGCAACTACCAAAAAGCTCTAAACTGCTTCAATGTCATAACGGTCTTTCAGCTGTAGCATTCATTTGGCGCCTAGCTGCCATGCTACTCGAAGGCAGCATGAGGGATGAGACACTGTTGGGTTGTCTAGGCCTAGATGGGAGCGACCGAGATGCAGATGTAACAACCATCAGCAATTTTGCTCTTTAACCATCGAGACGCCGAGAGATAATGACCATTTTCCATGCTAGGATAACATAACGGTATCGAGAAATCGTAAAAATACGCACTTTCGTACGTAAGTGAGTGCTCAACTCGAAGTCCAGGCGAATTCCTCCTCATCAAATTAGGTTGCGTATGGGTCGCTGTTACCAAAATGCAAGAGCCAAGATTCATCGGGAACAAAGTTTTAGTCACTAAGGCTCGTTGGATTCTACTGGATGGCCATATAGAAATGGTCCGTGACAAATCTTCAGTAAACGTCAATGGCGATTCTTCCTACAGAGACACATTCAGCAGCTCAGGTAATTTTGACTCATTCTATAGTTTTCGGCACCAGGAAACTCGCCTGAATATTCATGGTCTTCTTGGTACAAGCAGCCAACATATCCTAACATGTATTGATCATTGCTGTTAAGCGGGTAGCTGGTAGCCTTCAGAGACTCATTTACGTCATTCCGATGCACGGAGAATTGGGATCTTTCAAACGAATGCTTCTGACCGATTTGACCACTGTTCACAGGTGGATACTCAAACAATGTTAACACGATTTCTAAGGTATATCACATTCTGTACAATGGATCCAGTTAACGAATGTTTGTAAGCGCTGCAAAGGTGCAGCTTGTGGAAGCTCGTGGATCACATCGTAAGCTTAATTGAGATGGGCTTCAACTCTACTCAGCTAACAAGCGAAAGCAATATCGTCTAAAACGTGACCTCTTGGTGAACTAACAGATGCTGTGACTCACGGGCTACAGGTTACCAAGTGGGACCCGACTAAACAAACGGTGGAAGGTTCTCACTATCTCTATTGTGGGGAAGCTAGGCTACTTTCAGCTTTATTTAGAAGACTGGATATGTAGCGAATCAACTCGTTTATTCTCATGTGCAACAAAAGCGCGGTTTACCAAACCGGCTGGCTTTTACATGTCCCTAATGGTGAAGCCTAAACAAGGCATCATATGAGGTCCAGTTCAAACTCTTGTTTTAAACGCGTAGCAGCTGAAGAACTTTGGCTTCAGAGGCGTTTTCGCGACGTGAAAGTGAGAGCTCCCAAATGATCCACACAGGATGAAGCAGTGGAAATTACACTATCAGCGGCTGCTAAATTCACACTTCTGACTTCCAGGCAAATGCGCTATCAACCGTCTGTAGAGGGCCAACTTCACTGAAAATTGTCGAATGGCCGAGGAATACAGAATCATCCGGAGAAGACAGCAGCCCAGCTGGGGTATATGCATTTGTTATTACAATATTCCTCGGAACAAATCATAAGCTATTTTTTCAACCTGGAAAGCTACACCTCCTTCGCAAGATTCAGTCACCCAACCTGCTACCAATCATCACGAATTTCCACGCACTGGCCTCGGATAACTCTCACGTAATTGGTCTGATGGATACTTCATTGTAATATACACAATACGCGTAGCATGCATTCTGCCGGTAATGGTAAAGCGCACAGGTAAAAACCTCAGAAGTCTCCTCAATCAATCAATCAATCAATCAATCAACCAGTCAATCAACCAATCAATCAACCAATCAACCAACCAACCAACTAATCAATCAATCAACCAATCAACCGATCAATTTATCGGCTATAAGCCGTGTGCCATAGGCACATTGGTTCCAGCTGCTACAGTTTCGATCACCGAAAAACGGGAAAGTGGAAAATACAACCAAGCCTTGGAGGCGAAGGCATGTTCAGTTTGTTCGGAAATCTGGAGGCTACGCTTTGAAGGCGATAGCTTTGATGCACGAGCGCCACTGACCGCGCGATGGGGACATTTCCGCCAATGGCCTTAGGAGCAGGTGATTTGTGTCCCGGGGTCCCCATCCAGGGAGGCAGCAATTGCCCACCTGACTAAGTTTACTGGTTAGTGTTTTCGTACTTCGTTGTCAGGTCATACACTGTCCACCTCCAGGTCGCTTTCACTTAGCACAGGGCTGGGCGAAAGGAGCTTTGTGAGGAAGACGGTCTTCTGGCATGCGGAGTACATGTCCCAACCAGCGCAGCCTATGAAGCTTGAGTAATTCATATATCGGGGGTGTGTTCATTCTTCCTAAGACCATCTGGCGTACAATATCTGGATCATAATCGGTGAGAACAATGTTGAATAAATTGTGCGCTGTGTGTGAAATCTATTTGGGTAGCCAGCGAAAGTTGCAAAGTTTCTTTAGAGACTCCGGACTAAAGCGTCCAGCGATGACAGAAGGGCTGGGTTATTAAGATACTCTAAAACTGTCGTGTTTTTCGGCCGCTACCATTCCTCTCCATGACGTCTTCTCTCTGAAAGAGTCCTTTCTGGCAAAGTGCTGTCTCCACGTGGATTATCAGAGCAATTGTTCGGATTCTGCTAAACTATATGGGCGTACCTTGCTGGGAGAATTTTTTTTGCTACAAACAATTCTGTCGCACTATCCACTCTGCATAAAAAAATCATTCAGTTGTAGCACCCTTCCGGCACCTAACTACATAACTTATACAAGCAACTAGAAAGTCTTCTGTTTCATCTACAACCAATGTAGGTTGCAGTGATAAACGAATATCAGAAAATCCTGAGACACTGACAAGTAACCTTCACGTAGATCACCTTCGTTCAAGGCAATAGGCCTCAAATTGGAAGAATTTGCCTCGGAGGGACATCTCAGAAACGCCTTTTTTCATGTAAGTAATGTTCTTTCCTATGCTGACGGCTCATGTAGCCCCAATCTATCTGAAAACCATGTGATTCAAACAGTAGTTCTTGCTTCAAAAATTATAAGGAAACTTCAGTTCAACAGACAAATTAGGAACTACATGAACGACCACTCTCAATCTACTAAAAGAAGTGGGTCCGTATGTGTCTTTCGACTGGGAAATTAAGCGCATTAGTTCGAAAAATTGTTACGGTTTACTTTTTACAAAATTGAAGGAATAGCAGATTAAATTTATTTAGAGGGGATCTGAAAAAGAGAGTGTTGAAAACTTCCTCGTTCAAAAGTTTGGAGGGTTTGCTTCCAGACAAACCAGTGTGTGTATCGTAAGGTGCCATACGTAGGGTAAAACCAAACCCCTAAGGCATCACAGTGAGGTTAATATGCGTTCTGAAAGGTGTAGGGATACGGGCTTCAAATGTCAGACCCACAGAAGACATCTTTTTTGTCCCGCCTAACCAGGCGTTTAGATTCTTACAGTCAACAACAAAGGTTTACGATCGATAGGAATGTACTTTCGATATCAAATCAAACCGCCGGTTTTCCTTATTTTTATCGCAGGCGGGCGGATGAATTAGCTCACTACATTTGAAGGGCTTTTTTAGGGACCAAGAGCTACTGTGCACTAACCCTACATCTCTTCTTATGATCTCTACTCCAGTAAAGCTTTTGCTCGTGTGTGGCGGTTAGGCTACAGGACGTTTTTATTGTACGGCACATCAGTGCTGCTTCAAGGGTTAAATTAGTGTGATCTTACTTGTTCTTAAGCACACAATATAGACCATAGTACCAGACTGACCGTCAATGGTCCTATAACCCATACCGCGTTTGGCAATTTTTGAAATATAGCCAGTGCTCTTTTTGTCCTGCAGCAAATCAGAAAACGGTGACTTATTCTATCGGTACTTCGGCAAATTTCATCTATTGTGATGGTTCCAATAACTCTCCTCATCACAAAAAACAGGGTGTATTACCAATTTGGGTGTATGATTGCTGATGTGGAAGAGGTCCACGGAACAGCCGGGGTAGAACAAGCGTGCCGGACACTTACAGAGGTTCCAAAATCATGGTTCAAAGATAAACAAGCAGACAGAAGGACCTGCCTTACGTTCTTCTAGAGCGAAGAGTTTTCTTGGCCACTAAAACATATTCCGTGACATCAAACACACTTTTCGTAAACCTGTGAAGTAGATACTCAGCTGCATTGCTTGAGTGAATGTAAAGGTCAGGTTGCCAGTACCACTGCAAGGCCGCAGTTCGGCAAGGGGATAATCTCAGGACATTCGTTCCGACCAACACTCTGAGGTCAAGTACTATGCGGATCGTCTATCTGGGATCCAAATTTAGCGCCGCAACCCACACATAGCGACTCATCATGGAACGTAAAAAAGCCACGCTGACTCCCTTCATTATACGCATAAACAAAGGTTATATAGCGAAACTTATCTACCTTCGCTAACACGTCAATATAGAAGGCGAAAGGTGGACGCGCATCTGTGAAAAAATAGAACACCGTGCTGTTAATGACAATAGGTGCAAAGTTCATGGGCTACGACATAGGTCTTAGGGACCGCATGCATTCTATGCCACAGCTACTGACCCTGATGCGTTTTGCGCATATGCGAATTTTCAGCTTGCTGAAAATGCTTTTATTCATAGCCAGTTTATGTCACATCGCAAACATCAAATATCAGTTTATGTCACACCGCAAAACATCAAATATGCCCGACTATTTGGTCCTTCATTACCATGTGTGGATCACTCACCGAATCATCTGCCGCTACATCACAATTATGGGTTGAGCCACTCTTGTGCCTTGTCAGCTATGAAACCGCCCAACAAGACTCGGGAAAAGAGTGGCCTATTTAAAGTTGCTTATCGCGGTTGCACTGCGTCTAGATGCAAAGAGTTAACGAACTATATATATTATGCACAGATATTAGCTCAATTCTCCGCGTATCCTAATACCCTTCTGAACAAAAGTGGTGTCGAATTCGGACAGTGAGCTGTTCCACGGACTGACAAGTTCCAAAGAAAAAGGGTAGAAGCTTTGTGACGTCCGAATTGGATATCTTTGAAACTTTTCATTCTAAGTGATTTAAAGGACAACGAAAAAGTTTAAAGTACAAAAACTCCCCAGTAGTGTCAAGGCTTGGGTAATCTGGTAGTATCCCAGCCCTCCTACCAGGTACTGAAAGGGTGTTACAGCCGAATGATTTGTTTTTTAGTAGTGTGCACAGTAAAGTATACTGCTGCCAAAAGCTCTACACTGGAAGCTAAAATTCGGTCCGCATGGCCATTCATAGAAACCTTCCGCTTCTTCTACGTGAAAGAAGGCAAAGACGCCACCACCACCAATCTATTAAGTGAACATAGCAAAGAGCTCTGAGGCGATTCAGGTTTGCATGGCGAGATTATCGCCCTCAGAGGACAAAGTGCGCAGGTCGACTCAGCGTTCGTAGATCATTCTGAAGCAAACACTAAGGTCTTCAGCTACGGCCTGTTGATTGGTGGCTTATCAGGATAGTTCCTACACTGTTCCCGATGCCACAATGTATGGGTGCATTTTGAAATCATTTCGCATAAGCATTCCTTTCAGACCGAAGCTACA